GGGCGGGTCGGCGGTGCAGGGGGCAGAGATGGCGAGGCCACCCCAACAGGGCTCGTCCCCGAGGGCATCACCCTTGCAGCACCTCCCCGGCACCTCTGTCACCAGCTCTGTCACCAGCTGTGTCACCAGTCTCCAGCCCTCGGTCCAGGGACGTTTTCCTTTCCTTCAGGCAGCAGCAGCAGCATCCCCCCCACCGCAGCTATAACCGAGGTTTCCATCACCACCTTTCCGATGAAACAAGTGGGCTCAGCTCCCTTGGAGGTGTTTTGTCTGGTGGTGACACTGTTATGAGGCTCCTTGTCCCTCACGTGTGTCACCCGCCACCCCGGGGGGCACCGGGGATGTCTCCGCTGGCTCGGGCGGTGACGTGCTGCCTGCATCCCATGCTGGGTGGGCTTCGAGGGGGATGATGTGTGGCTGGCCCAGGCGCGGGGGGCCAGAGCTGCCCACCCCCTATCCCACGCTCCCCCTTCCAAGCTGTGCTGCTGTTCCAGCTGCCTGCACTTCGGACCCGGAGGAAGCGCCCGGCGCTGGCAGAGAAGGATCATGTGATGGCAGTGTCCACGTCCCTCTTCGTCCCCCATCCTGGGCCTGCCGAGCGCCCAGCGAGGATGGGGCTGCTGGCTCTCGCCCTGCTGCTGGCAGTGGGGCTCCTGCACACACAGGTTAGCAAACACGGGTGGAAAGTTGGGAGAAGCGCGCGGGGCTGAGCTGCAAAGGATCCGGTGGGACGGCTGTGGGATCTGCCTTGCTTTCCTCCCCTCCGTCCCTGCTCTTCCTGCTATGGCTGCCTTCTTCTGCAGCCCGTGTCCCGCCCCAGTGTCCCGCTTGCGCTCCCAGCTCCCTGCCTGCCCTCCCAGCACCCATCCCCAGCAGCACCCGTCCCCCAAAATGCCACCAGCTCAGCCGCAGGGTGTTTGATTAGCGAGGGGGGGGCTATCAGATGGTGCAAACGGCTGCCCTGCTTGTCCCTCCTGCTCTCCTGGGACAGCGTGGTACCTGCCTTGTCCCAGCACCGAGGATGGGGAGGGTCTCCCCCAGGAACCAGCCCACCTCAGTCCCTGTCCCAGGGACCATGGGAGGGGGTGGCTGGGCTTGGGGAGGGTCTGCAGCCCCCCCAGCACTGCCCCTCTCCCGCAGGCCTCCCCCCTGGACCGCTCCTTCCAGCTGGATTACGAGGAGGACTGCTTCCGCAAGGATGGTGCCCCTTTCCGCTACATCTCGGGCAGCATCCACTACGCCCGCATCCCACGCCCCGCCTGGAGAGACCGGCTCCTCAAGGTGTACATGAGCGGGCTCAGTGCCGTGCAGGTGTAAGCAATGGGGGCAGCCCCTCGGGGTCTCTGGGGTCCCTGGAGCAGGGACAGAGGCAAGGGTGATTTGATCACAGGGAGCAGGGACCAGCCCTTGCACTGGGCTGACTGTGATCCCCAGAACACCCCTGCCAGACACCAGCATGAGCCTCGGCTAGTCCCAGTCCAGCCCCAGTTGCCACCCTCAGCCCAGGCTGGAGGCCAGTTCCCAGGAGCAGAGGGATTGGCCTGTGGGAGGGTTCCCCGTTGTGCCAGGGTGCCCTTAGCCCCCGCGTGCCAATCTCCCCTCTCGCCCCAGCTACGTCCCCTGGAACTACCACGAGCCGCTGCCAGGGGTTTATGACTTTGCTGGGGACCGGGATGTGGAAGCCTTCCTGGACCTGACAGCCGAGCTGGGGCTTCTGGTGATCCTGCGGCCGGGGCCCTACATCTGTGCGGAGTGGGAGATGGTGAGCCCCAGCCCCCAGACCTGGGACGGAGGGGTTGTGGGTGGCCTGGGAAGGGCACAGCGGGGCTGGCCCTTCTGGCTGGCACGCTGACCCTGGTGCCGTGCCAGCCATGCCCAGGCTGCCACTCTGCGGGGCGCGTGCCACTCCAGTGCCGAGCATTAGCCTTGCCCTGGCCTGGTTTCGGCTGTGTGCCAGCCCGGGCTGCTGAGCAGTTTCTCTGCCTCCCTCTTGGCTGTGGGTGTTTCTCCAGGGTGGCCTGCCCGCCTGGCTGCTGTGGAAACCAGACATCGTCCTGCGCTCCTCCAACCCCGGTAAGCCTCGGCACGGGGCTCTGGCCACCGTGTCCTTACAGCCTGGTGCCAGTCCCGGCACACCGGTCTCTCTCCACACACCCGCCAGCCCACTGTGTGGTCTCTCCCATCCTCTTCTCCATCTTTTGGGAGCGCCATAGTTCGTCCTCCATCTCCCCTTCCCCACCGTGCTTGGCTCTGCCCCGTCTGCTCCATCCTCCTCCTGGCAGGGCTGGCTGCGGGCGGGCTGGGGTGGACGCTGCAGCAAGGCTGAGCTGCCCTCTCTCTCCCCAGCCTACCTGGAAGCTGTGGACTCCTGGCTCCATGTCCTGCTACCCAAGATCAAGCCACGCCTGTACCAGCATGGGGGGAACATCATCAGCGTGCAGGTAGGGTGCTGTCAGACCTGGCCCCGTGCCCTGCTCTAGGTCGTCTTTGGATGTGCCCCAAAACGCCACCTGTACCCCCTACCCCATGCCCTCATCCGGCACAGCTCTTAGATAAATCCCTCCCGACTTCTGGACCTGGGTTTAAATCCAAGGGCTGGGACTCTGGGGTACCTGCCACCACCCGGGTTGTGGTTTGAGGGACGCTGGCAGAGCTGGGGGTCATAGTGGGGCTGGAAGGTCAGTCTTGGGACGCCCCTGGGGGCTGTCACAACATCTAATGATTGTCGGGAGGGAAGGGGGGAGCTGGGTGCTCATCCCAGTGCATGGTGGGACCTGGCTGCAGCCCTGCCATGTGCACGCTGGGTGCTGGCCCCTGCCCCACTCGCAGGTGGAGAACGAATACGGGAGCTACTACGCCTGTGACTACGAGTACCTGCGGCACCTGCTGGGCTCCTTCCGGGCACTGCTGGGGAGCGAGGTGCTGCTCTTCACTACCGACAGCACGCGGGAGGAGGAGCTGCGCTGTGGCACGCTGCAGGGGCTCTACGCCACCGTTGACTTTGGGCCAGGTACCCCTGTGGGGGAGGAGGAGGAGGAGAGGGGATGGGGGTCCCAGCTCTGTCCTGCTCCAACCTCCCTCCCACCATCTCTGCAGGCTCCAATGTGACGGAGGCATTTGGTGCCCAGCGCCGGGTTGAGCCGAAGGGGCCCCTGGTGAGCTTGGCATGGGTGCCGTTGCGGGGAATGATCCACGATGGCTTTGGGGAGGCAGAGGGGCTGGGGGGGGGTGAGGCAAAAAGGGCTGCCAGGGCCAGGCTGCAAGTGAGCAGGGGGGATGTGGCTGACAGAGGGGTGCCAGAAGTCCCAGCTCCGGGCAGGTGACAGTCCCTTTCTCCCCCAGGTGAACTCCGAGTACTACACGGGCTGGCTGGACTACTGGGGGGAGGCACACGCCAGCACCAGCCCGGCGCGGGTGGCCCGGGGGCTGGAGGACATGCTGCAGCTGGGAGCCAGCGTCAACATGCAAGTAGTCAGCTGGTGGGGGGCACAGCCTGGGGGGACGATGCCCTCCCATCTGCCAGCATTGGCGTGGGCATCACCACTCACCTTTGTCCGGCAGGGCTCGGGCGGGGGAGGCAGGCAGGGCTGGGACTGCGGGTGCAGCAAGGAAGGGGCAGAGCCTGGTGAGCCCCCGCTGGGTCTGTGGGGGTGCTGACAGGGCTCTCTGGGGTGTCCCATAGGTACATGTTCCATGGGGGGACGAACTTCGCCTACTGGAGCGGTGAGTAGGGCCCTGCCCTGGGGAGGGGGGGCACACTGCGGAGCTGGGGAGCTTTCCTTGGCCATCCCCGAAGAGCCTGCTTCAGGCTCCTGTTCTGCCCCACAGGGCAGGCTGACACATACCCAAGGGCCCCTGAACCCAAGCTTGTCCCTCCCTGGGGACTCCTTTTGTCCCCAGGCAGGGGCTCCCAGTCTGGGTCGTGCCCCCCATTGCATTGCAGCCAGCCTGGGGCTGGGTTCCACACCCTGGACTCTGCCAGAGCCCCTTCCTCCAGCTCCCATCGCTTCCCCGGCCAGGTGCTGACTTCAAGGACCAGTACAAACCAGTGACCACCAGCTACGACTATGATGCTCCCCTCTCGGAAGCAGGAGACCCTACTGACAAGCTGTTTGCCATCCGCACAGTCATTAGCAAGGTGCTGAGCTTGGCAGGCGGAGGGGGACAGCACTGGGCACCGCTGCCAGTGCCAGGAAAGAGGGGGACACAGAGGGACCTGGCAGGGCAGAGGACATCTCCCTGCGTGCCCCGGGGGGCAGCTTACAGTTTGCTGTTCAGTTCCAGCCCCTGCCAGTCGGTCCGATGCCACCCGCCACCCCCAAGTACGCCTACGGCTGGGTGGCCCTGCAGAAGGTGAGTGCCTGTCCCCAGGGCTGTGCTGCCCCTGCCTGGCACTACCCGGCTGCCTGTTCCTCTCTTTGCAGTATGCCGACCTCCTGGATGTCTTGGACGTGCTGTGCCCCTTCGGGCCCATCCAGAGCCAGTTCCCTCTCACCTTTGAGGCCATAAAGCAGGTAAGGGGCTGGGTGCAGTGGGGGACACTGGGGGACACGCTCCTAGGCTTGTCTGCCCTGTCTCCGGGGTGGAGGAGCAGAGCTTGTCTCCAGCCCTGTTTCCCTTTCTGTGCCGCTCCACTGTGTCCTGCAGACCCACGGCTTTGTGGTGTACCGCACACAGCTGCCCCGGGACGTCCTGGACCCAGCCACGCTGGGCGCTCCTCCCCACAGCATCTGCGACCGTGGCTACGTGATGCTGCAGCAGGTGAGGCTGCGGGAATGCACCCATCCCTGGCCCAGCGCTCGGGAGGGCCGAGGGACCTGCGGCAGCGGGGCCATGCCATGCCAGGGTCTCAGGGACAGCCAGGGTGCTGAGAACCACACTGAGCCCTTGTGGGGTAGCCCTCTGGCCTGAATTTGCCCCCTTTGGGCAGCCCTGGGCTGGCTCTGGGGGGTCGGCAGTGGGATGCTAGGCTGGCAGGCTGCTGGCAGCGTTCAGGGCGGTGGGATCTGGGCATGGGGTGGCAGCGCTGACCCTGTGGCTGCAGGAGTACCAGGGGACACTGGAGCGGGACGGGCAGACAACGCTGCGTGTGACGGGCAGGGCAGGGGACACCCTGGACGTGCTCCTGGAGAACATGGGCAGGATCAGCTTCGGGGCCAACATCAGTGACTTCAAGGTGAGGGGAGAGGGCCCTGGGACTCTGGAGGGGATGGCCTGGCCACTCGCGTGGCCAAACACCCCCTCTCCTGCCACTCATGACAGGGCCACCCCAGACCTGCTCCCTGCTTAGTCTCACACCACCCCTGGCAAACCTGCCAGGACCAGGATGAGGCTGTGAGATCGGCACCCCTCTCTCCCACTTTAGGCTGCCATGGCAGCCAGGGCAGCACAGCCCCTCAGAGGGGATCCCATCCCACCTTCACTGCTGCGAGGGGGACATGTCCTGGGGAAGCCAACCATCCTCCTGCCCACAGCAGACCCTGCTGCCTCATTTTCCCTTCTGCTCCATCTCAGGGCTTGCTGGGGAACCTCTCCTTGGACTCCAGCCCTCTCAGCAACTGGCTGATCTACCCTCTGGCCATAGACACCGCCATCCAGCAGGGCTGGCCACACGCTGCCCTGCCAAAATCAAGCAGCGGGGGCAGAGCAGGGCCAGCCTTCTACACTGGGACCTTTGAGACCCCTGGCATCGCCTGGGACACCTTCGTGAAGTTCCCAGGTTGGAGCAAGGTAAGGCAGTGCATAGCCAGGAGAGGGGGTGAGGGCAGAGAGGGGCACAGCCCAGTCCTGTCTCCCATCTTCCAGGGCCAACTGTGGATAAACGGCTTCAACCTGGGCCGGTACTGGCCCCGCCGCGGACCCCAGCAGACCCTCTTTGTGCCCGGCTCGGTGCTGCATGTTGGCCGCCCCAACAACATCACAGTGCTGGAGCTGGAGGGGGCACCCCCCGACCCCTTCCTGCTCTTCCTCGACCGACCCCTTTTCAACAGGACCCTCAGCCACAGCAGCACGGGCACAGAATAAACGCAGGGCTGCTGGGCACTGGCATCGCTTCTGGCTGGGGCTGCAGAAATGGCGGGGGGGGGGGGGCGGGGGGGGGGGGGACGGGGGCACGGAGACGCGGACAGGGGGGCTGCAGGGCCCTAGGAAAGGGGCACACGTCCTGGCACGGACATCCAGAGCTCCTGCCCTCCTCTGGGGACAGGCAGGGTCTGTGCTAAGGAGAAAGGGGCTCAGAATTGAGCTTGTTTTGCATGTTAATCCCAAATAATTCCAGTGCTCATGCTGACGCCCCCCACACCTAGGGGGTCAAGGCACCTCTTTATTGACAATGCAGGCAGAGGAGGTAGTTGCTAACATGATACAGCCGAGACATCAATGTCATCCAGGAGAGGAGAGGGCAAAGCACAGCCCAGAGGGTGCCCACAGGCAGCTCAGGGCTGCGGGGTCCGGATAGGTCAGGATCTGTCCCACCGCCATGGGCAGCAGCCTACGAGGTAGCCATGAGAAAAGCCGGCCGCTAGGACCCACCAGCTGGAAGCACGTAGCAGTCCTGGCCCCTCACACTAGTACGTAGGGACCTCCTGGTTGTAATGTCCCCAGAGTCACCACCTGGAGTGACATTCTTGCCCCAAGCCTTGCCAGAGTTGCCTTCGAGAGTCACATGACCAGCTCAGTCCCTCTGACCAGCGCTGCTCCACAGGCTCTCCATCGCTGCACAGCCAGTGCTCAGTCATGTCTCCACCACGTTGGTCCTTGGCAGGCGGCAGCAGTCCTCAGCCTCACATGTGGCTGGCCCGGGCCCGGCGGTGGGTTTGCAGGCAGGCCGTGGAGCAGAAGGAGAAGTCGAGGTAATGGAAAGGGATCCGGCCCAGCAGGGACTCTCCGCAATGCCAGCAGCGACTGCAGGAAAGAGCAGAGGTGGCCCTAAGCGAAGGGGACACTCGCAAGAGGGTTAGAGGAGCAGAGGATTCACTGCCTGGGCTGTGACGTGAGACAGCAGCAGCATGAGGGAGCTGGGGCTCCTCTGGTCCTACGGGGCTCACCCAGCAGCCCGGCCAGGATGTGCTCCCAGGAGGCAACGCTGTGTGGGGTGAGGCACTTTAAGGCAGGCTGAATGTGGGGGAATTTGGCCCCACAGGGGGCTGTAAAGCCCCTGCCCAGATCACCTTGGGCAGGGCTGGCTGCCCACAAGCCTGTGGGGTGGCACAGGGAAGGGACGTGGGATGCAGGGTGAGGGGCACAGGGGTGGCTGGGGGATTGGCTTGCCGTAGATCTGGCTGCAAGCGGACCAAGTTGTCCTTTCCAAAGTATTTCAGGGGGGCAGGAGAAGAGAGAGAGAAAGCTTTTAGACAGGCACTGCTGGGAATCGAGTGGACAGGAATAGCTTTAGACTGGAAATGAAAACTGGAGCAAGAAGGGCAGGGGACAGCTGTGCTCACACGGGAGAGTTTGTCTGCAGAGCCGTGCTGCCAGGGCTGTTACCTGATGTTGGCAAGAGCTGTGCCGGCGTCCTGCAGCTGCGCAGCCAGCCTCCACTCGGCAGCCAGGGCCCTCTGGGGACCAGAGAGACAGCTCAGCCCCCCAGCCCCGGCAGCTGCTGTGCCCAGAGCCCACTGCATCTGCACTGCCCCAGCCGGGGTGGATCCCCTTCCCCATGCACAGCCTCACCTTCTCCGTGTCGGACAGGGCTGCGAACCGCTGCTTCTCTCCCTGCTCCTGCTCCCAGCGTTGCCGCTCCTCCCTCTGTGCCTGCTCCCGCTGCTTCCGCTGGGCTTTCTGTGCCCGCTTCTTCTCCAGCTTCTTGGCCTCCATCTCCTGCGTCAGGGGCCCTGGCACCTGGGGGCAGAGGGCAGTCAGCATCTCCCACTGAGCCAGGGGCAACAGCATAAGTGGGTGAGGGGTGCTTTGCTCCGGGATCCCCCAGCCCTCAGAAGGCGAGGGCAGCGGGCAGGCACCCACCTGGGCACGGCTGTAGTCGTACTTGTCTGGATGGTTCACCATGAACTTGCGGAAGGCATTGCGGGTCAGTTTGTCAGCAGAGACGCAGTAGGGGGTCCTCTCCTGCCCGTCTCTGCGAGACAAGACCAGCTCACCCTGCCATCTTACTGCCTGTGAGCCCAGCGACTCCCCAGAGTTGTGCAATGGGTACTGCAGGCCAGGGTATCGCAGCCAAGGAGAGGGAAGTTGCTTATCCCTGCACCAGAATCCCCCAAATCCTCCCCTTCTTGCATCTCAAATGCCCTGCAAAGGGTGGTCTCATCCCTACCCTCTGAACTGCCTACCAATAAACCTGGGAGCACTTTGGGGCAGTGCCCGTCTGCCGCTGTGCGAGAGAACAGTGGTTCAGCTCTCAGGCCTCCCGTAACAAACCCAAACATCCCAGTTGGTAGAGACCAACCCTGGCTGTCCCAGGACAAAGCTGGCACCAGTCTCCCGTGGCCGAGACAGGACTGGGTTGCTGGGCTCCCACAGCGGAGCTGTGCTCATCAACCGCTGGGCACCCTGTGGCCATACCTGAGGGCAGGGTCCGCCCCCGCCTCCAGCAGCAGGCACACAGCCTCAGCCTTCCCCGCGCGCGCTGCCACATGAAGCAGGGTGCAGCCGTGCTCATCCAAGGGCTGGTTGAGCAGGGAGCGGGGCATATCCAGGGGCTGTGCACCCTCCCCGTCCTCGTGGTCCCCCGGCAAGTTCCCACTCTCTGGCACGCCCAGGAGGTGCCGCAGCGTCCCCACATCCCCTGTTTTGCAGGCGGTGAACAAGGTGTCGCGGAGCTGGGTCTGAGGGTCTCCTGTGAGGGAAGAACAGGAGGGGAGTCTGATGGCTCCCTGGGCAGAGTGGTGCTCTGGTCTGACCAGTAAATCCACGGGGTGCAGTTAAAGCTGGATTTGGGCACTGCAGGATCTCCAGCACCTTCAGAGTCTGTGACAATGTGCCATGGCATTGCTGGGCACTGCTGGCAGCAGCCGAGCCCTCTCTCCTGAGGTGAGACCCACTCCAATCCCCCCAACACACCCGGCTTAGCCAGATGCTGCCTGCCCCCAGTTCAGAGCTACTGCTCCGCACACTCAGCTCTTTCGAAGAGCTTCACTACAGCCATCCCGCACCCAGCTGCTCTGGGCACCTGCGTGACAACGTGCTCTTCACCCCACTGCAAAACCCCCAGCAAACAGGGTAGGCATCCACCTGGCCCAGTTCCTGACCCCACTTACCTCCATCGCCCCAGGGAAGGGGCTCAGCCCCAGCCTCCCCCTGCAGCTCCGTCACCAGCTCCAGGCCAGGCTGCCCACACTGGCTACCACAGCATCCCGAATCTTCGGCACAGGGCCCTGCGCAGGGAGCACATGTTGAGGAAGAGGGCCAGGGCCAGCCTGCGTCCCAGGCATAGCAGTCCCCTCCCCAACACTTTCCTACACTGTCCCTGGTCAGTTCTTCCCCCTCACCTTTCTCCACCTTCTTGTCTCTCTTCTTCCTCCTTTTGCGGTTTCGCTTGGGCATCACTTCAAACTCCCGGAGGTCCAAGGTCCCCAGTGTCACTTCCACAGTCTCCAGTTCCCTTGCAGGGCTTTCCTCCTCCTCTTCGTCCTCCTCCTCTGGGGCTGAGGAAGGTGATAAGACAGGGGCTGAGGCCCCACACACAGCACGAATCACTCAGGGCTCTCAGCTAAGCACACCCTGCCCTTCTCCTGCCCAGCACGAGGCCACACTCTGCAGATTCCCACCATGGTGCCAGGCCTCCCCAGCCACGGGGCTGCAAACCCAGCCCCCGCACCATAACACCAGAACCCCTGCTTGCTCCATGGCTCAACTCACCACTTGTGTCCTCATGCGGGGGACCCATCTCTGCTTTCCGCTGCCTCTTCTGCCAGCCCTTCCGGGGGGACCCAGTGATGTCCTCCAGTGGCGTGTCCTTCCCTGGGCAGCAAGGGTGCTCCTGTCATTGCCTGGGGACAGGGAGCACCCCATGTCTCCAGGGATTGAGGGTTGGGGACCTAGCACCTCAACCCCATAGGGCAGCATCCCCTAACACACATGGGATTACATGAGGGACCACGTCATTCCGTCTGCTCTGACCCCCAGGCACTGGGGCACCAGGGCTGGGCTGACTCACCATACACCTGCAGGGTGGCCAGCGTGGCGTGGACTCGCAGCACCTCTCGCAGGGTGGCCCTGCGGGTGCTGAGGGGGATGTGGCAGACGCGAGGGTCGCCTCGGGTGAGGGGTGGGTTCCTGCCACCAAAGAGCAGCGCCCGGTTGTGGCGCGGGGCCCGGAGGAAGATGCGCTGAGCTTCATTCAAGTGCTGTGCCCAGGCTGCCAGCAGGTCCTGAATATCCTGGGGAGGAAGGGGAGGCACTATGGGGTCCTGAGCACACTGCGTGGGCACAGGCAGCTCTGGAGCAGGGGCAGACCCAGGACAGAGCAGCCTCAGTTGGGCCCTGACCCTCTTCCAGAGCTCACACCCCACCCACGCCCTCCAGCAGCTGTATGGTACCACCCCAGGGAGCCAGCCATGACCACGTCTCCCTGCCGAGAGCCCGCTGCTGTGGTCCAGCCCCACCTTGAGCAGTGCGGCCTCGTTGTAACGCCGCAGGGAGGCTCCGGCCGACCTGGGTGCTGACCCTGGGGTCTGGGCGTCCCGTAGGCCCTGGGCTGTGCCCCGACGGGCTCGCACTGTGTAGCGGTGGAAGGTCTTGTGCTCCTGCACCTGGGGGCTGCAGAAAGGGGCAAGCATCAGCAACAAGGCTCCATGCATGGAGAGGAGGTGAGCTGATCCTCCTGGGACCCCAGAGGGCTTGTAGCTTGCCCCTGGGGCCCTAAAGATTAATACTTCCCTTGCAGCGCAACTGGGCTTAGCCAACTCTCAAGCAAAGCCCAGGAGCTGGGGGTGCCCAGGGTGTGGGAAGCACTGCGATGGAGGAGTAGGGAGGGGATGGCCAGCCAATGCCTAGCTCCACTTGACCCTGCCCAGAGGTGCAACCCCAGCTCTGTCCCCCTGTACTCACCCCTGGAACACAGCTCCTGCGAAGTGCCCGCCGCCCATCATCAGCACAACCCAGCACGTGCTCGCGCTGAGGCTCTGCAGTGACGCTGTCAGCTCTGCTGGGTCCTCACTGCCACCCTGAGACATAGACACCCCTGCTAGCACCCACAAGATCACCTTGCCACCTCTTGCTGTCCCCCAGGACAGAGACCAGGCCCTCTGCTGGCACCAGAAGCAGGTTTTTGGGAGCAACCCAGAGCCAAAAAACAGGCCACCAGCAAGCCTGGGGCTCTGACCCAGCACCAGAGACCACCCTTCCCACTGCAAGACGTGAGGGACTGTCATATGGATGTCTACACCCTAGTGCCACTCGCCTTCTCGGGGGTCCCTCTCCCAACAAGCTGGGCTGTGACTTGCCTTCCCAATGCCCAGCACGCAGCGGTAGGCGGAGATGAGCTGGCCTTTCTCATTGCGGAGCAGCACCTTGTGGGAGCGGGGAGTCTGGGGGGTCCCGCGGCTGTCGCTGGCAGAAGGCAGCACCTCTGACTCACTGCTCGCATCAGAGCTCTCCGAATCAGACCCCGAGATACTGGAAACATCACCTGCATGGGAAAAAAAATGGAGCAGTGGAGCAGGGCAAAGATTAACAAACAGCCTCCCCACTACTTTGCAGGTGGCTCCAAGGGCCAGCCCACAGCCCCAGAACTGTTCTGTTCAATACCCTACCTATCACACGGGGGCTGTGGGCTGGGGAAACAGGCATCTGGGGCTCTGGACCCCCAGGTATGCATAGGCAGGGCTCAGGCAGAACACCCCCTTCTCCCCGTAACAAGTCAGCAGGGCTCAGGAGCAGTGCTGGACCCCCAGGAGACGCCAGAGGGGCAGAATAAAGGGACCCGGAGCTGGCAGAGGTAGCTGGGGCTCCATCTCTGGCCAGAACAGCCCCAGCGAGGCCGCTGATGGCCCATGGGCTTCGCTGGGGGCAGCCCCATTCCTCACCTGCACGGGTCTTCTCCTCAAACACTTCTGCCGGCAGCGTCCGGCGCCCCAGGAGTCGCTGCTTCAGGTTGAAGCGGTGCCAGTCGAGACGGTAGTGCTCAGTCTGTGGAGGAAAGAGGTATGAGCTGGCAAGGTCTTGGTGGTCCACAGAAACCCCACCACCAAAGGGTCTGAGGTGACAGACTTGGAGGGCTGAACCGATGCTGGGACTCTGCATCATCCCACACAATAGTCAACCTGAACAGGCACAGGCCTGTGCTGCACATACCATTTAGCTGCAGTAAATGGCATTTTAAGTGATAATATGCAGGATCTGAGTGCCAGATCCCAAGAGGACGCGGGCAGTGGAGCTCTGGGAAGCAGCCAGCGCTGGGCTGCACCACGCTGGGGCTGAGCCTCGGCAGCAGGGCCCCGCCAGCCCTGCTCCCACCTCATGCTGGCCGCTCGGCCCCGCTCACCTGCTCCTCCCGGCTGCTGAACACCTGCCCGCAGGTCGAGCAGCACATCCGCTCCGGCACCTCGGGGACCCCGTGGGCCTTCTCCTCGCTGCTGGCATCTGCAGGTTTCTCTGCAAGAATCATAGAATCGTTAAGGTTGGAAAAGACCCTTAAGATCATCGAGTCCA